TTTTATGCATGTCTCTTCTCAGAGTGTTTCCAGAAAGATGGGAAACAGGAAGTATTCAGAATCCTGTGAGAAATACTGTCTTCAGATTTCTAACTCCATTTGTATAGATTGAGGTACACAGTTTCATAAATTGTTGTTCCATGGTACACGAATCCTAAAAGATGCATCATGATAAAAACTGTTTCTTTAATCTAAACTTCCCAAAGACTTGAGAGTGGGACTCATACACCTGATAAAAATATACAGAATGCACTCTAGAAAACAGTGCACTGGAGTTTGGAATCGGCATCCACATTTTGGATTATGCGTTTAAGTCTAAGCTAAACTTATTGCTGCAGGACAACATCAGGGAAAATATAACTATGTCGCCTATCTAATTTTAGGATGCTGGAGCTGTAATGTTATCCTTCAGATCAACCTTTACTTGTAGTTCTCTGTATCTAGCTGAGGTAGCCTCTCCCAACTGATCTGGATAGGGAAAATGGAAGAGAACCAATAAAAGACTCCAGGAAAAAATGGGATAAAATTACATTTAATGACAGAGGGGTTAAGGCAGAGTGGTGCTTAAGAAAATCTTAATTCAGATAAAAAAAAAAAACTGGCTTGACAAAGAAACTGTTTTTATAAAAGATCAATAGGCTAAAATATTGTGAAAGACAAGCTCCCAGAATAACCAGATGGAGAGTGACAATTACTAAGGAGATGTTAAAGTGATTCCTTGCTTCCTAACAATATATAAATGGGTAGAAGAAATAAGTAGAAGATATTAAATCAAAGAGAGACTCTCATGCTAGTTTTCATAGCACTGGGATGTCATGGGCACATTTCTAGTCTGACAAGTTAGAAGACATGACTTTTTATCTTGGTTCTGACACAATTAGTGCATGATTTTTGGACAAGATACTTAGATTCTTATTAACTGGGGCTTGTGATATCTACCCAGTCTGTATCTCTATATTGCTTTAAGAAAGAAAGGAGATAAGGGCTTTAAAGGACTACACAATTATAATGGTATATTACAACAATGTGATTAATAGAGATAGCATGTGAATTTTTTCTGGCAAGAAAGTTTTGGATTCAAACCAATTTGGAGTAATGAGAAGGGCTGACTTCCCAAGTAGATAATAACCAGTGGATGAGAAGTATCTAAGGAAAGAGAATAGTTTTTGTTTTGTTTTTTTTTTTTAAACCAAATATGAAGAGAAGATCGAAGTAAGGGATGAGCAGTGTTGAAGAAAATGGAAGGGCCGAGAAGAGATCAGTCCTGCCCAAAAAAGTCTAAAAAGTTATGATTAATATAACGGATATACCTAATAAATTTAATAGATAATTACTATAATATAAAAGTTATTAAAGGAACTCCAAGTGAAGAAATGAGATGAGAAAATGACTGGAAGAGATAGTTAACTGGCAAGACTTGCCATTTGGGAAACGGTGTGACATGTTTCCATTTTGCCGATAGTTTTTGTGCATATTATTTTTTCTTGAATATATTTTATTCCAAACCCTGTGAGGTGTCTGTGATGCAGAGCATGGTTCTTACTTCTGTGGGCAGTCCATTCTTTACTTTGCATAAATATCTATTTTAAGATGACAGGCTATCTGGATTTCTTTTGATACGTGGTAGTCACGTGCATTAAAGGTTGTTCAGTGAACTATGAAAATTAATGTTCTTTTCATCATGTTAAGTGCATATTCCTTTTACTCAGGAAATGCAGGCCTTTTCTTCCATAAGCCAGTGCCAAGTTGTTTTCTTTGACATCAGGGAATACTTTGATCAACTTTAAATTCTCAGCTCTTTCCAAATTATCCTGAAAACCAAAACAAACAAACAAGCAAAATTCCTTTATTGACATCTCAGGTAGTAGCCATCTTTAAGTATATACTCTCTTGAATAGGGAGTGTATCAAAAGAAGTGGAGAAACATTGATTTAAAAAAAAATTTTTAAACAGCACTGTATCTGAAACAAAAGTTTGTTACAGCTGCTATTGTTTTATTTGAGGTATTCTCTCTAAAAATAAATCCTTAGAGTAGGAATGGTATCATTTTCTATTTTACATAGTACTGAGAACACTATTGGCACTTAGCAAGTAATAAATACAAGTTATAGCTACAGCATGATATTTTCTAAGCCAGAATGTTACCTACTGATTAGGAAAACTGAAAGGCCAATGCTCATCTTTTTGTAGGAACAAAATGGTAATTCAGATTTTTATTCAGTATTATATGACTGTATCATCCAAATTTTGATCTTTACATTATTATTATCATTTTAACAGCTAATTCTAAGGTTTCTTGGTAGTATACTGTAACTCTTGCGACTTTAAAAGACAATTTTTTTGTAAGTTAACTGACTTTACATTATGGGCATCTTGCATCTGATCCTTAGGAGGAAAACAAAAAATTAAAAAGTAAACTGAGAATGAGCTAAGGCATCAGTTGTGGTTAATTCTCAGATCTGAAGGCCAAAGATTACGAGACACAGAGACAACGTGCTTTGACTCCATAGCAAGTGCACTAATCACTTAACCAGTGGTTGGATAAACTTTTTAACCAATAGAGAAGGGTTTTTTGTTTGTTTGTTTGTTTTATTTAGTTTATTTTTTAACCTCTAACTTCAGCAGCAAATTATTGACACAGAAGAAAACACTAAAAGACTGTGAATCGTAACTACTCTTTACAGATGTTTCTTTTATCTTACCTGACTTCCTTGCCTAAGGTTTTCATTTCCAAAAGATGTCTTCAAAATACAGATGGCCATCACAAATTTCCCTAATCACTATACCCAGGTTCTATCCAAATTGAGTTTGCTTAACAATCAGGGTAGGGCTTCTTTCACTACTGGTGTCCCATGGAATGAGAGCAACCCAAAATAGAGGTGTGGCTTCTCTTATCTTGCACAAGTCACAGAGGTGCCCCTGACAGGTCTCAGTGGAAATTTTCATATGTGAATCTAGACATGCTACCCAAGGTGTTGTAAATTAGTAAGGTAACATGAATAGAAGCATCCCAGTGTTTTTCAGGCGTGGTTCAACAGGCAACTTTCCTGCCATATTCTGAGCCACATTTTCTTGAGACAGGTTGGTTGGCAAAGATCCAGAATGCTCATGAGCAGTTCTCTCCACACTTCTTAATCTGTGTAAAGGACAATCAGATATTCTAGCTGTCCCCTAGTACATCAAGTAGGAAAATTTGGCTCTTCTAACATGCTCTATTTTATGATTTAAGTATTAAATTTAAAAAATTCCCGGGAGTCCCCTTTTTGCAAACTTATAGGAGTGATTCAGTGCTATATTTCTCCAAGGTAAATTAAGTGCCCAGTCTGGTATGTTACATTTGAATAACACCTTGTAAACTAAGGACTGGTTGAACCTTCTGAAAATGGAACTGAGGAAATTGAATCAGGCTTTCCTCTGAGGAATCTTAGTATATTATACACCCTATAAAATACAAATACTTTTTATTTACAGTCAGTTGCTAGGATCCAAGAGTGCTTCTGCATTCCCTATCATTTTTAATGTGCAATATGCAGAGGGAGTATCTTCTGAAGAGTTCTGAGAGAAGGAAGGTTCTCAGTTGAAGATTACATCACCCTGAGCGAAATCCCATGTCTTTGTGTAAGACCACGCCACCAGTCTGTGGTCTTCCTGTGCAGAACCATCTATGCAGTGATTTGGGAACTGATGGTGCTTTTAGGCCTGAAACTTAGGTTGAGAGACAAAGTAAGCTGTGGTTATGATACAGGACCAACCATCAGAAATCCCAAGAAATCTAATTCGCTGAGATTTTGCATAGCTTACTTTCTGGTCCTGTGGGTTCTGCATCAATACACTATTAACTGACCCCACAGAACTATTGTGAAATTTAATCACTGTTAATGTTTTGAGAATCCCAAATGAATGCAGCATAAATTAAAAAAATAGTTTCTATATTTTGTTTGTATTTTTCCTGGACTATTCTATCAGCTTCTTATTGGACCTATTTCCTTAATGAAAGTTATACTATAACTTTTACAGACTAAAATTCTTTGGGTCCAAGTCAGCCGCCTTGGATATGAGATGTACCCCAGGAAATAAATTATATTTAGGAAATAAATATTGCTCTGACAACAAATGGTCTAACAATTCTTTATTTGATATGTTATATATGTAACTCCTATAATTAATGTGTATTAAATATTTATATAAACAACATGTATATTAGAATGTTATATGTGTATATATTTTGAAAAAATTTTATTATGTTATGTTAATCACCATACATTACATCATTAGTTTTTGGTGTAGCGTTCCATGATTCATTGTTTGCGTATAACACCCAGTGCTCCATTCAATACATGCCCTCTTTAATACCCATCACCAGGCTAACCCATCCCCCAGCCCTCTCCCCTCTAGAACCCTCAGTTTGTTTCTCAGAGTCCATAGTCTCTCATGGTTTGTCTCCCCCTCTGATGCCCCCGCTTCATTTTACCCTTCCTACTATCTTCTTTTTTTTAACATATAATGTATTATTTGTTTCAGAGGTACAGGTCTGTGATTCAACAGTCTTACACAATTCACAGCGCTCACCATAGCACATACCCTCCCCAGTGTCTATCACCCAGCCACCCCATCCCTCCCACCCCCCACCACTCCAGCAACCCTCAGTTTGTTTCCTGAGATTAAGAATTCCTCATATCAGTGAGATCATATGATACATGTCTTTCTCTGATTGACTTATTTCGCTCAGCATAATACCCTCCAATTCCATCCACGTCATTGCAAATGGCAAGATCTCATTCCTTTTGATGACTGCATAATATTCCATTGTATATATATATATACACAACACATCTTCTTTATCCATTCATCTGTGTATATTCTGAGACTGTCACTTACAAAATATTTCCATAGTGACATACCTAACTAAAATTTCTAACTTTAAATAAACTCAGGATCTAGTTGAGTCATATATTTTTGTATAGCATTTTTAAAATAGTCTTGTCTTTATTTCCTTGCAGTTTATTAGAACATAAAATCTTAGAAATGGAGGGAAAGCACAAGGAAGAGTTGGACACCTTAAAAGAAGAGAGAGAGAATCTTCAAGTTTTGGTTACTCGTCAAACGTATATAATCCAGGAACTGGAGAAACAATTGAACAGAGCCACCACCAATAATAGTGTCCTTCAGAAGCAGCAGCTGGAGCTGATGGACACAGTGCATAACCTCATCAACCTTTGCACTAAAGAAGGTGGTAAGAATTTCTTCAGTTTGGTATAGTAGATATTTTATTTAACATGGAGCAAGTAAATATTCAGTACAACTTTCTATATTGTATTGATTGCTGTATAAAAGCAGCAAAATAACTCTATTCTTAGAAGCATTGCATGAAGTTTGTACTCACAATTTTCTTATGTTTTTAACATCAGAGAATGTACTCATAAGCTTGAATTTGTGAATTCGCAGTATCATTCTAAAAGAACTTTCTAGTTTCTTCTCTCTTGCTTGCTCTTTTTAGCCTTAGATAAAACCTGCAATACTGTCCTGGATAAACATTTGATGTTATGGTGCTAGACACTTAAATACAAAAGACAAAAATTAGCCAATGTTAAAGATTAATTCAGAGTCCTGGGAGAGTTTCAGGAAGATTCCCATTTTAAAACTAGTATTAATTATTTCTTTTGTAGAGGGGGGAGAAGGAAGAGTTGCTTATTGGGAGATATAGAAGCTCCCAATAACTATTATGAAGGAGAAAGAATCTTTATTATTAAAAGTCTTTATTAAGATCACTTATGTTTAGTCCTGTGTAGAGAAGCCCTAACCAGGGCATCAAGCATATTTATTCTGGGCTGTCTTTGTGACAGTGGAAATATATATATATTTTAAATCCTGGTACAGTTAACATACAGTGTTATATTAGTTTCAGGTGTTGGAAATACAAATTTTTAATATGACTAGAATATCTGGAGCCACTTAACCATTGAAAATATTGTAGGCCTATGTCTCTTTAGAAGATATCTATCCATCTGCCCATCCCCACCCAATAATTATTGAATGAGTGTCTCTGTGAATGCTTGTCCACTTCAAACAGATCCTTTCCCTAGTCTCAGGAGAGCTCTTCAAAGTTTGGAGCTTAAAGTCATCTTCTGTAGTTCTGCTCGCTAATCAGCCTTTCTCTGAGTGAAGATGCGATGAATCGTAAATAGTGATGAGTGAAAGAAAACACCAATTACATCTGAAAGTTATGGTTGTCACTAAGCTGTGGCTTATGTGACCATTCATGCGGTGGTTCCATGTACATATGCAATATACATACCACAGAGGGTTCTTTAATAGTGGACTTGAGCTATATGAAAAATTAGCTCAATTCCATACTTTCATGTATAGATATGAATATAGATGATAATTCCATATGAAGTGATCTTGTTTTAAAGACATTTCACATTTTTCTATTACACTCCATTACCTTGAGTTTTATCTCCTTTAGATAGTCTAAACAAGTCCTTAATATACTTTGTAAAGAATATTTTTTAAACAGTAAGTTCCCAGAGCTCCATTTGGGTGTGCTAAGAAATGTGATTGGGAAGGAAAAAACCTGCTAATCAGTCAGCGCCTGCCAAAACCTTCGGTTAGAGTCCACTGGAAGGAAAGCTTGGTATGATTTTGCCAGAGAATTTTAATGGAGCTCATGAGTATTTAGAAATTAAGTATTAATATGAGACATATCTATTCTCATATTGAACTTAATACATTAGGGGGAACATTGAAAACATATTTTTCTTATCATCCTGAGACTTAAAGCACATGGAGTTGAGTATTTCTTTCTTTCTTTTTTTCTTTCTTTTTCTTTTTTTTTTTTTTTCATGTTGTTAGAAATATCAAGCCCTGGTGATTCTCACAGAGCTCATATGTCTGCCTACTTATCATAATTTCACTTCTTTTCTGAGTATTTGTCCAATAAATATGTCTTTAAACTTTTAGAGGTAGGGGTGGAAGTGACTGCAAAAGTAAAATTCCTGACTAGGTTTGGAGTTTGGGGGCAACAGCAGGCAACCAAACATCTGTTCAAGAAACATTTACTGAATAATTATGATACTGTTAGATGCTACCCGTGTAGCGTCTCAGGGTGTGTGAAAAGTAGCTGTGTCTCTTTTGTGATGTAGCATATCCAAAACAAACAAAAATAGGAGAGACAAATTGTCTAATACTTCAGGCCTCTTGACATTTATTTTCTTTTTAATGATACAATCCTAAAATAAATTCTGATTTAATTGCAGGACTTGTGATCATCATGTAAATCTATTATCCTGTTTTCCAGTGGGTTCTGTGCTCTCATAACCATAGGTTTTATTTGCTTCTTGTTAATTGTTGTTTTCTTTAATTCTATAGTTAATATTCTGACCAAATATTTTATTATTAAGGACTCATAAAAGACACAAAAATGGAAAATGCCTCTTAATAAGGTTTCTATCAAGATTTTAATTCTCTGCATATCTTCATTTTCACTGGTGTCATAGTCTTTATTATGGTGAATTTGAAATTTTAAATAACTCATACCATAATACTGGATTAAAATCAGTCACTAAAATGAATTTTTATTTCATCCTAATTCTAAAACATGTAAGTAAAACCTTTCCTACTTTTGTGACCAACAACTCATTTACCAAATGTATTTATTATTTATCAAGGAATTTTATGCAAATGTTATACTTTTACATTTAAATATATGCAAATATGCCTAAAATCAATATACCACAATTGATTTTTATGCATCGATTTTTAAAAATGTGTATCTTAAGAACTCAAAGAGTAATCTAAAAGATTTTCCAAAATCTTCATGAGCTATGTTATAATACAAAAGCCAAAATGTTTAATTGACTTTAAAGATCCTCCATTTGCAACTTGACCCAATCACTTATGGAGACAGCCTAAATGTAACACTACAAAGCAAGAGAAGAAATTTTTTAGTGAGTTTTCTGTGTTGCCAGCAACTAATTTAACCTTTATGAAGATGTTTCATCATTTTATAAAGTCAGTATAATTATGTCTACTTCTCAGTGATAGGGAAAGGATTAAATTAGGTACTGCCTATAAAAGCAAACAACACATGACATAGGTGACTCATTAAACTTTAGTTCCTTCTTTCTCCTCCAAGTGACAAGGTTAAATTAAACACAAATTTATTAAGTGCTATCTATAAGCAAACTTCTTTCATGGAAAATGTCTGAATACAATGCTCAACAGTGTTTAACTGTTGACAGTGTTCCAAGCAGTTTCTTTTAGCCTCAGTTTTCATATCCAAAATGGGATCATAATACATACCTGATGAGATTATAGTAAATTAAAAGAACTTTTTATAAAACATATAGCATCAGTGCCTATCCGTAGTAAATGCTGAAAAAATTATAGTCTATTTACTTTTATGCCTTCTAAAGTATTTATAACTCACTAAAGTTACATGATAAAAGCATTCTCAAGAAGTGTTGGCTGGAAATTTATCCTTTCCCTAACATGTGCTTGGCCCAGGAATTGTAAATCCATCTTTGCATGTAGGGATTATTTTTGTTTAGTTTCACAGAACTTTTCCTACTAAAATAAGATACGTTTAAGCTAAGTACAATTTTTAACAAACACACTTTCTGAAATAATTCACCAACCTGTCCTCTTCTTGTTCCAAATAGGCAATAGTAGTGTTTTAGGCAAATAATCATTTCAAACAGAATTGCATCCATTTTGTAAAGCTTCTGGGTAACACATTTATTTTTGTCTAACCCTTGTCTGCAAACATTTGGCCACACTTATTCTTAGAAACATTACCCACTAAAAAAATATTGCCCTCAGTGTTATCATAGCATCAAAACTTAGCTTATTGCTTCATGTTTTTGGCAACTCACAGTTATTGCTGGAATTAAATAGTTTACATTGATAATGGCATGGATACAAGGCTTGGAATTCTTCTGAGCAGGATAATCCGGTACTGTAACCATCGAACCTTCACCAGTCATCTTTATGTTCAGAGGCGATTAAGCTGTCGCCACATACATTGAGCACACATGAGGCAAACATTGTATTATGTGATCAAGAACTTAATTAGTAACCAAGAATTTAAAAAAGGAAGAAAGAAAATAATATTTAGCCTCCACTCCCTACCATAGGCTGGTTTTCTTACTGTCTAAATCACCTTAGAGCATACTCCTGCTATACCAAGATATGATTAATAAATTTATCCATTCATTCCAAAATGTATAACAACTGTTCTGTTTCACATTCTCTTCTGGGGGATAAGAATGTTCATCCATCTTTATTTAACAAATATTTGTTGAGTTCTGGTAATACAGCAGATGAGGTTCAGGCCACTGGGAAGAGAGAAAAGATGTAGTTCAGTCTGTAGCTTCAAGGAAACTAGAGTTTGGTGGGTAGAGAGACAGATAAACACACAATTATATTTCGTATTTCATATTTTGCTACACATGAGGCTAAGGTGTCAGGGCACTAGTGAAATACACAAGAGAAATATTAAAATCATGGCAGGGGCAGGATGAAGGCAAAATATAGCATCTGCAGTTTTCTTAAGGATTTTGCTGAATGCTTACTATAATTCAGGCATTATTGAAGCTTTATGTGTATTAACTTAGTCCCAACAATAACAATATGAGATAAATACTATGGCTAGTCCCATTTTATAAATTCTACAGAGAACTTGAGTAATTTGCCCAAGGTTACGCGTAGCTGGTAAAAGTTGATCCACGATTGAAACACAGGTAGGATGGCTCTAATGGGATGATAACGGCTAAGTCTTCAAAATAAAGAAAACAGAGCATACTCCAGACAGCTCAAAGAACATGTATATTTGCCAGGAGTCATGGCAGGGAGTGGGATATACCTAAATGCATAGCCTAAATATCAGAATCAAAGCCAGGAGAACAATGAAAGATGGAATTAGAGAAGTAAACTGAGGGAGATCAAGGAAGCCACATTTTTTTCTCTGAAAGCAGTAGGGAGTCCTGTCAATGTATGAGGACCATGTTGACATTTGCATTTTAGAAAAAAATTGCCCCAGTCACAATGTAGGAAGAATGTACTGGAAAGTTGATAAGGTTGGAAGTGGAGGGACCAGATGGGTGTTTTGCCATTATTATTAAAATATTAGCAAATATTTGGAGAGTAAAAGCCAATCTTCTGAGCTCTTTGCATATATTAACTCATTCAGTTCTGATAACAACTCTATAAGCTGGGTGCTCTTATTAGCTTCGT